TGTTTCAGTGCAGTATACATTATTGAACCCATCTTACTCAGTCTCTCCCCAACCCCAAGGACAGTCCCATTCTACAACAGTGGCATCATGTAATATCTGTCCTTTTGTGACTGGGATATTTCACTCAATGAATAGGTTTTACTTCTATTGCTGCTTTAACAAATGGCCACAAATTTAGTGGCCTAAAATAGCACATACCTGTTTACAATGGCAGAGGCTGTATTTCTTTCTGGAAACTGTAAGGGAGAATCTGAGAGCTTCCCTTTTCCAACTTTCTAGAGGCTGCCTATAGCCCTTGGCGTATGGGTTTCTCTTCCTCCTTCAAAGATAGCAAAACTGGATCTCTCTGACCTTTTCTCCATCACCACTTCCCTCTCCGACCACAGCTGGGAAAGTTTCTCTTCTATTAAGGAAATGATTAGATTGGGCCTGCTTGAGTAATCTAGGGTCATCTCCTCATCTCAGAGTGTTTATAATCATATCTGCAAAGTTCCTTCCATCATGTGAAGTAGCATCATCATCACAGGTTCTAAGGGTTGGGGAGTAAGTTTTTGGGAGGGCACTGTGATTACCACATATGACTTGTTTCCTGCTTTTTAAATTTAAAAGAACAGATCGGTGATATGTCTTACATATCAGTGGTATGTCATACACTCCAACAGCTTTTTCTAATTCTTCATTTATTGACATGACAGTAGTATTCTTACTGTTTGTTATTGCCCACTTCTCAGATCACTGGGCCTGGCCTAGTTATTCTTTTTTCTCACTATTCATGGAACCGGTATTCTCACATTCAGGTGTGCTTTCATCCAATTTGCATATATCCATGCCTGCCCAATGAATTTGAATTAGGGACAAGCTTCTCCCATCTTATCCATGTTTCACCATAAGGCAAAAATTCTCCAGTGACTGCTGTAAAAGAAGAGTTCATCACCTTAAAACAATTACACTTGACAAGGCAGGGACACCAACGTACAGTGTATTGCTCAACAAGCTGCAACTTTTTCACTGGAAAGGGACAACTCTCTCAGTGCAGTGGAGATCTTCACCACAAAGAATGGACCTTTCTTAGGTTTTGTGTCCATACACCCAGGAGGTTTTGAGATTTACCTTCACCAGGGCTCTTGGTCAACTTGAAATAAACAGGGGATGAGAAGGCTTGGTTGGTAAATCTTAATCTCAATTTCAGTGTTTTAAAGTCTGCATGAGGATAACTTGTTGTTGTTGTTTGTTATCAAGTGTGACCCTATGAACAATGGCTGAACTTTTCCCAATCATGTGCCGTCCTCACCATCTCCAACACACTTGAGCCCATTGCTATAGGTCACTATGTCAATCTGTTTTGTTGAGGGTCTTCTTCTCTTACACGGATCCTCCACCTTTCCAAACATACCTTCCAAGGACTGATTCCTTCCTTCTAACAAATTGCCCAAAGTATGTGAAATGACGTTTCACTATCCTTGCTTCCAGAGAGCACTCTGGTTTCACTCTTTCCAAGACCTGTTTATTCTCGTGGCACTCTATAGAATACTCTTCTCCAACACCATGACTCAAAGGCATCTGTCATCCATAGTCATGGTCCAACTTTCACATGCCGATTTGCAGCCAATTGGGAAGATCACAGCTTGTATCAGATGCACCTTAGTCTTTATAGATATTCTTTCTTTTTTTGCAGATATGAATGACCTGTACAATGTCTGTAGCACTGTTAGTCCTCAGCAATGGCAGGCTCACCATTCTTTTCTCAGCTTTTTTCTTTTAATTGCCTGTTGTTGTTGTTGTTATGTGCCGTCGAGTCTTTTGCGACTCATAGCGACCCTATGTACAACAGCCCTAAACCCTGCTCTATCCTGTGCCAATAGCATTGCCTCTGACACACCCATCCCGATTACCCCAGTCACTGAATCAATCCACCTCATAGAAGGTCTTCCCCTCCTGCGCTGTCCCTCTACTCTACCCAGCACGATGTCCCTCTCCGAAGACCTGTCTCTCCTTGCAACATGTCCAAAGTATGTCAGACGAAGCTTAGTTTGTATCAATTCCATAAGTAATTTGTGGAATGCTGTATTGTCTTGTATGCTTCCTGAGTGTACTGATCAAATGGGGGACAGAGTGGCCTTCACCTACCTGGTTTTTAACTGAACATCAGATGACTTCTAAGAAGCCGAATTAGTATGCTCTCAGTGTTTTGACAAGAGGTATACATTGGATTGGAAGGAGATTGACATTTTAGTGATGCTACCACCTTGTCAACTTAGGCTGAAATAACCTTCTCTCCTTTTCTTAAATGAATATAGCATAATCCCTTGAGTTACAGTTGTTTGGTTTTTTAAAAACTTAACAGAGTTCCAAATGAGTAATATCTGAGCAAGAAGTATGGTGCCCTCCACACTTTGCAATTGAAAGGAATCTTTTTTCTTTTTTCCCCACTTCAACTTTAGTCAGAAAACTAATTGGGTTGGTAGACAGTCTAGCCCATGAGGTTTTCTTTAGGAAGCAAAACTGCAAGGAAGTAAATATGTGCACCAGATCTTTTCATCCTCTGGCAAAAATATGCTTGGGGCATGGTGCTATAAAGAACACGTTGTTCTGGAACTTGAAATGAAATGGTGCAGATGTCAAATGGTTGGATTCCCAGACTTCATATGTTGAAGCATCTTGTTCTGGTCACTTTTTTTGAGACTTTGTTTTCTCAGTTTTAGCTCAGGGCAGTTGGCATATTGGTAACCATGTTTTTCTTTAGACCATTGCTCTATAGTAGATGGTGGTGGTTATCATCCTTACAGGAAAATGTAGAGCCTGGGGCCAGAGAGAAGAGGGATTGTCCCAAATCCACGCCTGAGACAGACACCAAATAGAGTGATATGGGACTTTGCACGAGTGATCTCCTATCTTGGTTCTAGTAGTTTTAGAGATTGAGATATTCCTCATTTGCTTTGGAATCCCACATCCAGCTATATCCTCAGACTCTTGTCGCCTAGTTTTTGCTCCTCTGTCTTCCTGTGACTTCAGCTTTAGCCCTCTCAACATATCCATTAACCTCTATTTGTCTCATCTGGATGAGTGTAGGCTTTTTCTTGAGCCTCCGTCTTTCGTTTGTTGGCCATGGAGTTGATTCCTGAATCTCAGTGACAGATTTTACAGAGTAGAACTGCTCTATATGGTCTTTTAAGGTTGTGGCCTTTCTTCTGCAGATTTCTAGTCTTTTCTTCTGAAGAACCTCAGTAAATATTTGAACAGCCAACTTTTTGGTTAATAGACCAGTGCTTAACTCTTTGAGTCACTCTTTGAGAAAACCATCTCGCTTTACCACACCTCTAAGTCTTTCCTTCCTTAAGAAGTCAACTTTCAAAATAGCATAATCTTCTTGCTTTTGATGTTTCTGACATCTTATACATTTCTTTGGTTCTTATTGATATTTTAATGAAAGTTTACAGAAAACTTGGCTTTCCATTCATTCACTGCTGCACATTTTCCTCTCTACCTCTACCCCCGCCCCCCCGCACCCAACATCTCATATATTTCTGTGACAATGTGCTCTGATTGCCACATGGCCATAACTTTGCTATATTCTGTCTAAGGTTTCAAGTGAAACCTTTTTATTTATACTCAATAAAATCCAGGAGACCCTTCAGTCTTTATCTTATCTGACCTCTGCTATATCTGATGTCTTGACCCTGTACTCACTATCATCATTTCAGTGATACTGTCTCTTACTGTTTCTCTTCCACCCATCTGTCCACTTCTCCCTTTCTTTCCTGGCTCTTCTTAAGCCACTCTTTAAATGTTTGTTTTGTTGTTGTTGTTATGTACCATCGAGTTGCTTGCGACTCATAGCGACCCTATATACAACAGCCCTAAACTCCGCTCTGTCCTGTGCCAATCACACCTTCTCTGACACTCCCATCCCAATTATCCCAGTCACTGAATCAATCCACCTCATAGAAGGCCTTCCCCTCCTGTGCTGTCCCTCCACCCTCCCAAGCATGATGTCCTTCTCCAAGGACCGATCTCTTGTCACAACATGTCCAAAGTATGTTAGACGGAGCCTCAGAATCCTTGCCTCCAAGGAGCCACCCAGTTTAACCCTTTCCAGGACGAATCTGTTTGTTTTCTAGCAGTCCATGGTATTCTCAATACTCTTCTCCAGCACCACAGCTCAAAGGCATCAATTCTCCTTCTATCCTCCTTGGTCATTGTCCAACTCTCTGATGCATAACAACTGATTGTGAAGACCATGGCCTGTATCAGACGCACCTTAGTCTCCAGAGAGACACCATTGCTCTTCAGTACTCTGGAGAGGTCCCTAACAGCCGACTTTTCCATGGCAATGCACCTCTTAATTTCCTGGCTGCTGGTGCCAAGAGTGTTGACTGTAGAGCCAAGCAAACTAAAGCTGTGTACAATCTCAGTCTCTTCACCATCCATCCAGATGCTGCCAATTGGTCCAGTGGTGAGAATCTTTGTCTTCTTGACATTGAGCCTCAATCCATATTGTAGGCTGCAGTCCTTGACCCTCTGCAGCAGGTGCTTCAGGTCCTCCTCAGTTTCAGCAAGCAGGGTTGTGTCATCTGCATAACGCAGATCGTCTCCCAATCTTGACCCCACATTTCTCCTCATAGAGCCTAGCCTTCCATATAATCTGTTCTGCATACAGGTTGAAAAGGTATGGAGATAGGATGCATCCCTGGCGTACTCCCTTCCCAATTTTGAACCATGCAGTATTCCCTTGCTGTGTTCTGATGACTGCCTCCTGGTCCAAGTATAGGTTTCGCATTAGAATGATCAAGTGTTCTGGGATTCCCATTCTTCTCAGAGTCAGCCACAGTTTGTTATGACATTCTTTTTGCTTTCACTCTACATTCTCTCTACCCGTGTAATAGTATCCATTTGTGTGGTTTCTTACAACAACTCCTATTTTCCATGTCATTTTCTAAACTCTACATTCTCTTGAACAATACTACTTCAGTTACAAGTATCTCTCAAATTCTACATGCCCAAACTATGGTCATCATATTCCTAATAAAATCTAGCTCTACAGTGTCATTGCCTTGTTTCCTTAGTATCTCATGCTTGCGTGCTCCTTCTCACCATCCCTTCAAACCAAATCCAAACCCTGGTGGTCTAGTGGAAGGAAGCTGTGCAGCAAGCCTAAAGGTACCAGGTTCAAATCCACCAGATGCTGTGCTGAAGATCTGTGCCAGTCAGATCTGATTCGACGGTAAAAAAAAAAAAAAAATCCAAACCCACTGCCATTGAATCAGCGTCAACTCCTGGTGGCCTCCCATTCCATTTCTGAGACCGAAAAGCTTTACCCAAGAAGGACACCTCTATCTCTCAACTGTGGACCAGTGGTGGAATTGAACTTCTCACTTTTGTTTAACAGCCCAACGCGGTATGCACTGTGCCACCAGGACTGCTTCATCCCTAAGTCATTACTGTTTTTCCTCACCTCATTTACTCAGGTAGACTTTCATTTCTTCACTCTTGATTATCCCCTGTATCTACAAGGACTACTTTTATAGAATAAATAGATCAAGTCATTATTCTTTTCTAAAAAAATTCTTCTGGATTCTTACCAAGATCTATTTTCACCTGGTGGTTTATAAATGTACTTAGTTACATTCTAAACATTAAACTCTTGGATGCCCTAGAAGGAGTCACTAATCACCAGAAGGACCTTTGGTTCCAATAAGATAGTTTAATGTGTTTTATGCCCCTCTCTCATGTAGAATGGGATGTTCACAGAAATGTCTTTTGTTTTTCAGAATGACATTTTTCTCAGGCATTATGACAAAGGACCATGTCGGAATAAGCTGGGCCACTCCAGAGCATCAGTGATGTGGAACAGGACACAGGTAGACTCACCTCAAAGGGAACATGAAACAAACAAGATATGTTGGCTTGAGCATGACCCTCTTGAGGACACTAACACTGATTTATTTTTTTTATGCAGAACAAGTTTTAATGCTATACCCCAATTTAATAATGTTGTTAGATGCCATCAAGTCAGCTGTGACTCATAGTAACCCTGTGTGCAATAGGATGAAACACTGCCCTATGTTTTTCCATTCTCAAAATTGCTGCTGCACTGTGCCAATCCATTTTGTTGAGAGCCTTTTTTTTTTCACTGGTACTCTACAAAGTAGAAGCCTTTCTCAGGTACTGGTCCCTCCAGAAATCATATCTCAATATAATGACAACTGGTTAATGTGACTCAAATGCTTTCTAAATGTTTTATGCGCTTTATCTGAAATAATATTCTATCAGTTAATATTTCTTGTTTAAGTCAAACTTTTTATAATAAACGAAGTGGTGTTCTTATGCTAAGAAAAAGTCCACCTCTTCATTCCCACTCTACTACCTACTTTTCCCATTACACCCTGGAAAATTCTTGGGGGTTCTAGGAAAGGACTAGAGAAAAATAATCAAGCATCTTTCCAGAGTTAACTGATGAGCACAGTTTCTTTGAGGATGATTGGGGTACAGAGACACTGTAGGAACTTAAGCACTACAGAATGAAAGAACATGTTCTCACTAAAAAGGTGGTATTAGAGAAGAATGTTGAACATATCGTGGACTTCCAGGAGAACAAACAAGTCTGTCCTAGAGAGCAGGAAACCAAGCTGTTCTCTGGAGGCAAGGATTTTGAAGCTCTGTCTTACTTTGGGCATGTGGCCAGGAGGGACCAATCCTTGGAAGGGTGGAGGGACAGTGCAGGAGAGAAAGACCCAGGATGAGATGGATTGGCTCAGTTACTGGAGAAATGGGATTAGGTTTGTCGGACATGATGAGATTAGTTCAGGATAGAGCAGGATTTAGAGCTCTGGTACATGGGGTTGCTATGAGTCACAGGCGACTTGACAGCACATAACAACTTTGTGAAAATCAGTTAGGTGTATTAACCACTGAAAGGCAATGTTCTGAATCCATGAGCTCCTGCTGGGGCATCGTGTCCTTTGTACATACCATTATATGCTTTTACTGTAGGTTCAGAGAAAGTCATGATTTCTTTTAATTGTGTTTCATATTTATTAAAGGCCATATTGTTGTCTTCTTTTTGAGAGAGTCGATGTTAATGTCCTGGGAATCATTGTTAACAACCTCATGACTTTGTTGCAGAAACTCAGTGAAGAACCAAGCCTAGGATGTGATGACTGTATGTGAACTTATGGTAGAGCTTGAGGAATAAAATTTGCTTTATTCTTCTGCTTTGCATCCAGTTAAGACCAATGCCTCTCAGGTCTCACAGCTGTATCTTTTATGTGGCCAAGTATGGTATAGCAAAGGAACCTGGTGGCACAGAGGCTAAGCACTTAAATGCTAGCCAAAAGGCCAAAATTTTAACCTTTCCAGCAGTTCCACAAAAGAAAAGGCCTGATAATCTGTTGCCATAAAGATAACAGCCTAGGAAACAATAGGGGCAGTTCCATTTTGTCTGCTGTGTGGTTGCTGTGAGTCATAATCAAATGGTCCATTGAGACTACAGACAAGAATGTGACCTAGGAATTATAATTAAGGCGCTGTTGTGGCTTCTTGTTAAAGAATTATGCTGCCAACTCAAAGGCATGCAGTTCGAATCCATTAGCTACTTCATAGGAGGAAGATGGGCAGTCTCTTCCCATGTGATTTACTGCTTCTGAAAACCCACTGGAGGATCAGCTATGAGTCAGTTATGACTCAACAGCACATAACAATACGAAGTGTAATTCTACATATATGAAAATGTAATTCCCAGAATATGCTTTTTTTTTTTTTTTATCAGGTGGTGGGGATTCTCGTTGGATTGGGCATCATTGCCTTGGTGACGTCACCCTTGCTACTCCTGGCCTCACCCTGCATAATCTGTTGTGTCTGCAAGTCCTGTCGGGGCAAGAAGAAAAAGCATGACCCATCCACAACCTAAAGCTCTCCATTCCTGCTCACGTGCCAAGGTTATCTGGGTTAAATGAGACAGCACAGTGATCAAGCTCCACGTAGTTAACTCGCCTCCTTCTCCTTGCCAAACTTTGGAAGTGCCTCTTGTGTCCAGACTTTGAACTCATCTGCCAGCCCTTGGCACAGGAAAAGGACAACCCCAGGTTTCATTTGTTCCTGTGTAAAGAGAACTGGGGTCTCCAGTCTAGGCTGTGTCTAAGGAGAATGTCTGGAAACTTTGGAACTGCTTGGGGCTGTGGGGTAGGGTATAGACTAGGACTCAGACATCACTGTTTGATCACCCAAAGGATCCCAATGGACTGTTGAACTTTCAGCCAACTTCAAGGAGCCTCCGTAAACATGCGATATAATAAATATGTTGTCACAGTTGGCAACATGCGTGGTAACTGGGAAGCGGAAGTCTGCTCTGTTTTATTTGACCACCATGGAAACATGAGGGGAAATTCCATGTAGGAGGGGAAGGATAAGACTGCTGCAGGGAAAATTCTCACAGGAGACATAAAGCAGGCTGCTTATCTCAGGAGTATTTGTGGTGGCTCTGCCTTTGCCAGCGACTTGGTGTACTCTTCCCAGAATTCCCACCGCGACTTGGCAGAAATACAATAGATTTCTCCTTGTGTGATTTCAGCTTCAAGAAGGAGAAAGTGCTGTGCAGAGAAAGTTATCACTTTCCAATGAAAGAGTTGCAGCATGTAGAGTGACATGGTCTATGTTAGTGTCCCTGCCTTGGCAAGAGTGACTTTTCTTCTTAAGGCGATCAGCTCTTCTCCTAAAGCAGCTGCTGGACAATTATTGCCTTATAAGGAATGTGGATAGGGTAGGAGAAACTCAAGACCTTCACCACAGCTATAATAGGGACCTTTCTTAGACTTTGTGTTCATAACACCCCAAAGATTGATGATTAGATCTCAAAGTACATACCAGGTGCAAATATTAAAGTCCATATGCACATTTAGAATTCATATAATTTGCAGCCGGAATTCCTATCCATTGGGCTTGCATGCATATACCCAATAGTACACATGAAGTAAATGTTTACTGAAAAGCCATTCTTTCTTTCCTTACGTGATTAATATGGTTTATTATAAATCAGCCTAAATATTTTTTGCATATTATATATGTGAATTTTGGTTCTGAGTTAATAATTTATCCCAGGGGATATATCAACTCATAAACATAACACTTTTAGCAAAGTAAATAGTATAATAGTTTGTCATCTCTTTTTGTAAACACATACACACACACACAATTGATAACCAAGTGATTTTACATGTTTTCTAACAATTCAGGACAGTTCTATTCTTGGCATAACTGAACATTGCTCTGTCAGCATCTTCGAGGGCCATCTGCGTACTCTCTGTACAAGACATTGATGAAAGTACACCTACAAAAAAAAAAAAAATAAGAATAGAAATACCTTAGGTGACCTAAAGAGAATGAATCTATGTCACCTCACTGTGACTTGTTTCTCCCATTGTACTGTTAGCATTTTAATAAACGGGTTTTGAAAAGATTTTAAAACAAACCATTGTCTCCAGGGGCAGGCTTATCTATAATTGCCATTAGTAATGTAGGATGGTGCTTTGTGATAACTGTACTCAGTGTTTATGGAGAGCTTGCCTTGAAGCCAAGAGTACTGTATCAGAGCCTGTGATATTTTTTTGAGGAGACTGGGTTACCAGTGTGTTAACTCGCTGCTGTCTTAGACCTGCTACTAAAGATGTTGCTTTGCCTCTGTAACGGAATGTATGCTAAAGTGGGATGTGTATATTTAAAGAACTTTAATTCACATGTGTATATTTGGTATATGTGTATAGTGATATACAGCTTCTCTCTCATGTACATTTTATTTACAGTTTGTATAGAACAGAGATGAGAACTCCAGGCAAAACTTTTGAATGACAACCAGCCAAAACCATTTTTAATCATTTATTAGAAATTTCTCTAGTAAAAGTCCAAGCGCTAAATACTTATAAAAAGAAACCCACCATAACAAACCTCTTCTATTAATGCTTTTCATATTAGTATAAATGTACATATATTTGAGTCATCAGTTTGGTTTTTCTTACACATAGCCTACTGCCTCATTATAGGTTAAAGGGCATTTATAACTGCTCAGGGGATCATGGAAACTCAACTGAAAATGACATTTTGTAATAAGAATGTCAGTGTTGGCAGCATACTCCTCCGTTATTAAACTCTCTAAGCTTGGTTCCACCCACTGCCCACTCTTGTTGAATGGATTCCCTCCATTGGGTTTCTGAGAGTAAATCTTAACAGGAAGAGACTGCCCATCTTTCTCTTGTGGACAGCTCTGGATTTAAATTGCAGACTTTTTCTTTAGTAGCCCAATATTTAACCTATCATTCTACCAAGTCTCCTTACGCTTGGTTCTACAGAGAATCTTAAACAGGGGCTCATTTCTGGTAATCTAAACACTATCAGAAGGCGAGCTCCTGAATTTGGAGTCATCTATCTTCTTGACCAAACTGAAGGAATATGTCTTCTTATATAAGAACTATGACAGAATCCACTACTTTTTTTTAGGGAGAGTTGGTGGGTGGGAGGGTGTTTGCCAAACAGATTTTAAATAACTGGATTTAACTTTTAAAATGCTGAAAAGTGCCTAAAAAGGGGGGGGGGAGATGGTGACTTCTTTTTTAAATAGCTGAGTAAATTGGTCTTGGTGAGACTGTCAGAATCTGCTGGAACAGGATCAGGTTGGGAGATAAAATCCAAACATCTCTCTGGTGTATCAAAGGGCAAGACCCTAGAGGATCTGGAGGCTTTGTATACAGGGAGAAAGTTGACAACTTTGATAACAGAGGCTGGTATTCTCATATTGGATATTTGGCCAGTGAAGAATTTAACCTTGTCTTCTTCCTTTGTCAGCTTTGTTCTCTGCTATTGACTCTTTTTGTGTACTGGTGAGAACTGTGAGTCTTGGTATTAAGACTTGGATGTTGTAGCATACATCACATGTTTGTGCTGAGGTAGTATAAACAAAGAGAAACTTAAGTCAATTCCAATTCGTGGCAACTCTGTATGTCAGAGCAGACCTGTGCTTTACAGGGTAAAGTAATATATTTCTATGTGAAATAGAAATGGGGGAAGAATCCTTCACCAAATTGTGATCTGCATGTAATTGCCACCATTCAGAAATACTACTGATGATAATAAAAAACATCTAGCTGTTGCTCCATTAAAAAAATTCTTTTTAATTAGGTAGAGAGGTTAGGAGGGAAGCCTATATGGAAAGAAATCTTGGAATCTCAGGCGTGCTACTTATTTGTGCCATGAATGTTCCCTTAAGACTAAAAATCAGTGTTTTGAAAGAGACTTTTGAAAACCAAAATGAGTCACAGTGTGAATTTTTGAGTAGCCTGCATCATGAAAACCTTACCTATTGGGGTTTGAAAATCACATGTTTATTTGAATGTAAATTGCTATTGCTTTGAATTTCAGATTTGCTCTTAAAATTATTTGGAGTCTAAACATGTGTTATTTTTGCTTTCCCTACACTGCTCCAAAAAAGATTTTGTCATTGTTTATGAATGGATGCCTTTATGTATATAGACTCATGTATATATGTATAACTTTAAGGACAATTTCAGAAATGCCTTAGATAAACAAAATTTTTTAAAGCTCTCACAACTGCTATCGATAGACTATGACATCTCATGTTGATTTGTGACTTGGAAAGTTTTACTATGTATTTAAGAAATTGCAGTTGTATTCTATTTTTCCAGTACTTTGTGAGGAAAATAGCTACATTAGTCTCTCTAGCCCCAATAAATGTTGAGCAGGAAAAGAACTGTGTGAATCTTTTTTCTTCTACACATGTTTGTTGACAGGTTCAGCTTTGAGAACTACCCAGACCACTAAGTCCTAGTTGGAATTAATGGAAATGACTCTTGCCACCCTGTTTCTTCGGAATTTCTGGTGTCTTACTGGTAAGGAATTGTGCTGACAATGCAAAGGTGCATGATTCCATTCTACCAGCTGCTCTGTGGGAGAAACATGGGCAGTCTCCTTCTGTGCAATTAACTGCCTTTGAAAACCTGCTGGAGAGTCTGCTTTAGGTCAGTTCTGACTTGATGGTACACAACAACAACAACAAAACACCTTGGAGTTTGTTTTTGTTTTGTTTTTCAAATGGGTCAATACAATGTGTTGACTTGAAGACTTACTTCTTGTATGATGTTCCATGCTGACAGAACAAAGAAATTAATCATTATATAGAGAGAAAACCTGATATTGATAATCTTTGGTTGTTTTAATAAAAATTGTTACCAGGAGTCAAAACCATGATTTCTGCTAAATAAGCATTGACCTATTGTTTTTGTTGTTAGGTGCCATCGAGTAGAGTACAACTCATAGTAACCCTATGAACAACAGATCTGAACCCTGTCCTATCCTGTGCCAGCTTGAAGTCTCTGACTCACTTGAGCTCACTCATTGCTGCAGTGACTGTCAATCCATCTAGGATCTTCCTCTCCTTTGCCATCCCTCCACCTTTCCAAGCATGACGTTCCTTTCCAGAGAATAATTTTTCCTAGCAATGTGCCCAAAGGATGTAAGACAACATTTTATCATCCTTGAATCCAAGGAGCACTCTAGCTGCATCTTTTCCAAGACATATCTGTTTATTCTTTTGACAGTCTGTAGGATACTCAGCACTCTTCGCCAACACCTTAGCTCAAAGGCATCAGTTGTTCTGTCATTTATTGTCCAGCTCTCAGAACCTGCAAGTGACTGAAAAGACCATGACCTGAATCAGGTATACCTTAGTCCTTAAACTGACATCATTATTCCTCAGTAATTTAGAAAGATCCCTCATTTCCTAGTGCAATACGTCTCCTCATCTCCTAACTTCTGGTACAAAGTACACTGATTGTAAATCCAAGTAGGATGAAGTTGTTGACATTTTCAGTCTTTCTCCATCTAGCATTGGATTACATGCTCCCTAAGGCCAAGTTCTAACCATCCAGAGGTCTGTTGCTGATGCTGTCTTTAACTATGGCTCATAGCAACTCTGCAAACTATCAGAATCTTGACCTATCTTGTACCATCTCCACTATTTCTCTCATGATCAAGCCCATTGTTGCAGTTACTG